AGCTGGCATAGAAGTTGGAGGAAGCATTGTTTGGAATTCACCCAACTAAATCTTCCTAAGTTTATTATTTATAAAGCTCATGTTTTCATTACAATATAGCTCATAATAGCTTTGTAGCTCTTTCTCCTCAACTGAAATCTTTGGTGGGGGAGGACTGCAATTTTCAGAGACCACCTGGCATTTATCATTCATTCTTATCTTACTTGCTTGAAATAGTTGGCCAAGGAAGCCTGGGTCCTGATCCCAGCCCCTTTACCATACCCAACCCTGCCCCGGTACAAATTTCCTGACAAAATACCCAGTACTCCAAGGCCTCTGGAAGAAGCATGGAAAACTAAGATTACTGTTTCCCATAGGAAGGATATTGAAGTGACTTTCACAAGCTACCTATGGTGAGAGAGGAAATGTAAAGTCTTGGAGAAAGGGCTGTAGTGGGAGTAAGTGACAAGTCCTGGCCTATTCCCATTCCATCCCATTTCTAGGGAGGAGTCTAGCCAAGCTGCCAACTGGGCCCCAAGAGCAACTGATATGTGAACATGCAGGGGTTACCTTGCCCAGCCCTTGTCTTCTCCCTGGGTTCCATCTCCCAGAGTGTGAAGAGAATGGGAACACCAAGAAACCAGCCTGAGACTTCATACCTTCTCCCTCACTGCAATGTGGGCAAAGGTCTATGTGCGAAGGTCTCAGAAACTTGAATTCCCTGTAGTTTTAGTTGATGGTACAACATTTTTTCACATGCATCTTTCCACTGAGGTTGATATGCAAATATTACTGTCCACAAATTAGAGATGAAAAAAGAGATTGCATTACTTGTCTAAAGCTGTATCACTCCCTGCATATCCAGCCTCCTAGAGGGCTGTTGTTCAATCATGAGTTTGGCTTTTCTCCCTCTTCAAATTAATCATCTGTGACTTTTACATCACTAATGCTCAATCTTTGGTAGCTGCTATGTAGAGAATCTCACACACACACACACACACACACACACACACGTCTGTTAGCTCTCAGGACTCTTGGTGATCCCCTGACAACCATGGACACATGGCTGAGAATTCTTCTTTTAGAAGTAACGGAACCAACCCAAATGCCCATCAATGATAGACTGGATAAAGAAAATGTATACACCATGGAATACTATGCAGCCATAAAAAAGAATGAGTTCATGTCCTTTGCAGGGACATGGATGAAGCTGGAAACCATCATTCTCAGCAAACTAATGCAAGAACAGAAAACCAAACACCACATGTTCTCACTCGTAAGTGGGGGTTGAACAATGAGAACATATAGACACAGGGAGGGGAACATCACACACCAGGGCCTGACGGGGAGCAGGGGGCTAGGGGAGCATTAGGAGAAATACCTAATGTAGATGACGGGTTGATGGGTGCAGCAAACCACCATGGCACGTGTATACCTATGTAACAAACCTGCACGTTCTGCACATGTACCCCAGAACTTAAAGTATAATAAAAGAAAAAGAAAAAAAAAGAGGTAATGTATGTGAGACCAAAAGACATAATAACCAAACACCATGTGTAAACCATGATTGAATCCTGGTTCAAAAATTCAGATACAGAACACATTTCAGGGACCACCGTAGAAATGTGAATATGGTATATATATATTAGGTTTCATTACGGAATTTTCTCAGATGACTCAAGATTAATTTTTTTAGATGTAATAATAGTGTTTATTATTATCAGAGTATCCCAATTTTTAGGAGATGCCTAAGTATTTAGGGGTGAAATAATATGAAGTCCTCAACATATTTTCAAGTGGTTCAGAAAAAAATATAGAAAAATCAAGATTGAACCACATGAAATTTGCCAATATTTTGTGGGGTTTTTTGGAGGTGGGGGGTGGGGATGGACTTTTGCTCTTGTCGCCCAGGCTGGAGTGAAATGGCAGGATCTCGGCTCACTGCAACCTCCACCTCCTGGATTCAAGCAATTCTCCTGCCTCAGCCTCCCCAGTAGCTGGAATTACAGGTGCCCGCCATCATGCTTAGCTAATTTTTGTATTTTTTTTTTTAGTAGAAATGAGTTTTCACCATGTTGGCCAGGCTAGTCTCAAACTCCTGATCTCACGTGATCCACTTGCTTCGGCCTCGGAAAGTGCTGGGATTACAGCTGTGAGCCACCACGCCCAGCCTAATTTGTTATTTTGACCTATGAAAACAGGTATTACATTCTAGTTAACCTAATTTATTATTATTATTATTATTTTGAGATGGAGTTTCTCACTTATTGCCCAGGCTGGAATGCAGTCTAGGCTCACTGCAAAACTCCACCTCTCAGGTTCAAGCAATTCTCCTGCCTCAGCCTCCCGAGTAGCTGGGATTACAGGCATGCACCACCATGCCCAGCTAGTTTTGTATTTTTAGTAGCAATGAGGTTTCACCATGTTGGTCAGGCTGGTCTCGTACTCAGGTGATCCATTCACTTCAGCCTCCCAAAGTGCTGGGATTACAGGTGTGAGCCACTGTGCCCAGTGATTTAACCTAATTTATAAAGGAAATATTATAAACCATTAAAAGTAGTTTAATCTAGGTGGTAGTATGTGAATGTTAATCGAAAAGTTCTTTTAACTTTTCTGTACATTAAAAAATTTTGCATGATATATAAATTTTCATAATAAAATGTGGTGGAAAAAAGTTTCTGTTTCTTTGTGATAGCTCTCAAATCTGCCGCTATATTAGTTACCTATTGCTATGGAACATAACAAATTATCCGAAAATTTAGTGGTTTAAAACCACAAACATTTCTGGGTATAATCAAAAGAATTGAGAGCAGGGACTCAAAGAGACATCATACACTCGTGTATTCATAACATCATTATTCACAATATGCAAAAGGGGGACGAGCCCAAGTGTCCCTCCACAGATGAATGGGTAAAGAAAATGTGGTGGCTGGGTGTGGTCACTCAGACCTATAATCCCAGCACTTTGAGAGGCTGAGGCAGGCAGATCACAAGGTCAGGAGTTTGAGACCAGCCTGACCAACATGGTGAAACCTTGTCTCTACTGAAAGTACAAAAATTAGCCAGACGTGGTGGCGTGCACCTGTAATCCCAGCTACTCAAGAGGCTGAGGCAGAAGAATTGCTTGAACCCAGGAGGTGAAGGTTGCAGTGAGCTGGGATCATGCCACTGCACTCCAGCCTGGGTGACAGAGTGAGACTCAGTCTCAAAAAAAAAAAAAAAGAATATGTGGTATATACATACAATTGAATACTATTCAGCCATAAAAAGGAACAAAATTCTGACATATGCTACAATCTGAATGAACCTTGTAGATAAGCCAAGTCACAAAAAGACTAATGCTATATGATTCTATTTATATGAGATAGCTAGAGTAGTCACATTAATAGGGACAAAGAGTAAAACGGTGGTTGTCAACAGCTCAGGAAGTGGAAATGGGAGCTTTTTTTTTTTTTTTGGTGGTATGACTCAGATTTTTAAATTTTTATTATTTTTTTTTAACACAAGGAGCTATTTTTTTTTTTTTTTTAAAGACGGAGTTTCGGCCGGGCGCGGTGGCTCACGCCTGTAATCCCAGCACTTTGGGAGGCCGAGGCGGGTGGATCACGAGGTCAAGAGATCGAGACCATCCTGGTCAACACGGTGAAACCCCGTCTCTACTAAAGCTACAAAAAATTAGCTGGGCATGGTGGCGTGTGCCTGTAATCCCAGCGACTCAGGAGGCTGAGGCAGGAGAATTGCCTGAACCCAGGAGGCGGAGGTTGCGGTGAGCTGAGATCGTGCCATTGCACTCCAGCCTGGGTAACAAGAGCGAAACTCCGTCTCAAAAAAAAAAAAAAAAAAAAAAAAAAAAAAGAGGGAGTTTCACCCTGTTGATCAGGGTGGTCTTGAACTCCCAACCTCAGGTGATCCGCCCGCCTTGGCCTCCAAAGTGCTTGGATTACAGGTGTGAGCCACCACGTCCAGCCAGGGAGGTATTTTTTAATGGATACAGTTTCAGTTAACAAAGATGAAAAAGTTCTGGAGGTGGATGATGGTGATGGTTGCACACCATTGTGAATGTATTTAAACCACTGAACTGTACACTTAAAAGTTGTTCAAATGGGCCAGACACAGCTAGGTATGGCAGCTCATGCCTGTAATTCCAGCACTTTTGGAGACCTACGAGGGAGGATCACTGAGACCAGGAGTTCAAGACCAGCTTGGGAAACAGTGAGACCCTGTGTTTACAAGCTAAAAATTAAAAAATTACCCAGGCTTGCTGGCATGTATCTGTAGTCCTGGCTTCTCAGGAGACTAAGATGGGAGGATCACTTGAGCCCAGGTATTCAAGGCAGAAGTGAGCTATGATCATGCTACTGTATTCCAGCCTGGGAGCCTGGGTGACAGCAAGTGCATTTCAGCCTGGATGACAGAGCAAGACTCCAGCTCAAAAAACAAACAAACCAAAAAAAAAAAGAAACCTCAAAATTCCCATTTAGTTACTACATACACGTCAAAGTTCAGTATCTTTGAGTGGCACAAAGGTTTTCTGAATTAGTGACTTGTAAACTAAAAGACAATCCATCCAAAACAGTGACTGAGAAGAATAGGCTAACATGATTACAGCTCTTATTCAGCAAAAGGAAGGCATGCACTTATAGCTGCACCGATTGGGGAGGAATGGCGGCTTCCAGCCCTCGATGTCACTGGCACCTTGGGTTCTTATAATCTCTCAGGATAGAAATAAAGAGAGATCACCAGACATAGCAGCAAAGAAAATCTTTATTTTAGCTTGTGCACAAGAGAGCCAGCACCAAGAAAGGAGAAGGCACAGGCTTCTTCCCACAGGTGGTCTGTGGATTAGTCTTCTATAAGGAAGGGTCACATCAGGGAGTATAGATGAGGGATTTTTCTAGCGCTTGTGCAATGCTAAACATGCCTCTTCATACATTGTATGTAGCATTAGCATTTTAAATCTCTACCCTTGGGCATGATTTTTAGCATTAAAAAAATAAAGGGGTAACTATAGGTTGACATACAGGGCTCCAGAGAAATCCCTAGCCCCCTGAAAGAGGAGCTTGTGGTTAATGGCTTTTTGAATCTTTTGTTACTGATTGCCTGAGAGCTAGATAAGCTAGAGTGAGGAGCCCTTGTTTGTTGTTGGTTTTGTAGAGACAGGGTCTCACCATGTTGCCCAGGCTGACTTTGAACTCAGTGATCCTCCGGCTGAGGCCTCCCAAAGTGCTGGTATTACAGGGACCAGCCTGCCTGTCCCACTGGCAGTGGGGTAAGCTGCCTGATTGGCCCATCTGACAGCCCTAGGTTCTCCCATCTAGGAGAAGCATCTTAGTCTGTTGTCCTTTGTGGCCATGGCTCTGCCTTCTCTGAGGTTCTTCCCTGTCCCTTGTGCCCCATGGCCACATCTGAGTGGGCATGGAAAGTATGCTTCTTGGAGCTGCACAGCGTTTACACTGTTTACTGCTGGTGCCGATTTAGAGCCTGGGGTATGCCTTAAAGAGTGGAACTGCCACACATTGTGGCGGGACAGTCTTGAGATTTATCAAGCCGTATTCTATGATTTGTGGGTTTTTATGTAAAGATGTTATAATTCAATAAATAATTTAAGAAAGATGTGTCTTGAAAGCAGTGGAATACAGTGTGTCCAGGGGATAGCTGAGCACGGTGGCTCACGCTTATAATCCCAACACTTTGGGAGGCCAAGGCAGGTAGACTGAGGTCAGGAGTTTGAGATCAGCCTGGGCAACATGGTGAAACCCCATTTCTACTAAAAAAAAAAAAAAGAGCCAGGTGTGGTGGCGGGTGCCTGTAGTCCCAGCTATTTGGGAGGCTGAGGTGGGAGAATCTCTTGAACCTGGGAGGCAGAGATTGCAGTGAGCCACAATCATGCCATTGCACTCCAGCCTGGGCAACAGAGACCCTGTCTCAAAACAAACAGCATATGAAGAGGGGACAGATGGGAAGAGCAGAGACAGTAACTGCCAGATGAGGGTCTCTAGGCTTAAAGGAAATAATCTTGGTTCCAAGTGGAAGCAAAAGGTTTGGGAGCCTAGGAAGTTTTCAAGGAAACTGTTGTTGTGTGTATAAATAACTACATTATTTAAAAACCATCAAAACTAACCTATAATGTTAGAAGTCCGGAAAGCGATTACCATCGAAGGGAGTAGTGACTGGAAGACTTATGTTATGGCTGATGTTATGTTTCTTGATCACACAGGTGTGATCACTTCATGAAATTTTATCAAGCTGTACTCTATGATTTGTGTGTTTTCGTGTAAATATATGATTCATATTGTTGTGTATGGCTGTTATTTGTTTATTCTTTTTTTTTTTTTTTTTGAGACAGTCTTACATTGTCTCCCAGGCTGGAGTGCAATGGCACAATCTTGGTTCACTGCAAACTCTGCCTCCCAGGTTCAAGCGATTCTCTTGCCTCAGCCTCCCAAGTAGCTGGGATTACAGGCACATGCCGCCATGCCCAGCTAATTTTTGTATTTTTAGTAGAGACAGGGTTTCACCATGTTGGCCAGGATGGTCTCGATCTCTTGACCTCATGATCCACCCACCTCAGTCTCCCAAAGTGCTGGGATTACAGGTGTAACCCACCACGACCAGCTGATTTGTTTATTTTTATTGCTGTCTAGTATTGCATCCTGTTAACATTACCACAAATTATATATGGATATTACCACAAATTATGTATCTATTCCACTAGATGTGGAACATCCAACACTGGATGTTGACGGGTGTATTGGAGTAGTTACCAGTTTCATAAACAGTGCTGCTATGAATATTTTCAGGTTTGTCTGTCGATGAGTATATATGCATGTTTCTTTTGGGTATTGTTTCAGCTACCTATTGCTGCATGACAAAGTGTCCCAAAATGTAATGGTGTCAAACAACACTCATGTTATTATACCCATGGGCTCTGTGGGTGAAGAACTTGAACGGGGCATGGAAGGTATGGTTTGCTCTTGCTCCACCTTGCCTGGAGTCTCAGTTGGAAAATCCAGATGGCTGGGGGTGACTTGAATGGCCAGGGCTGGAGTCATGTGGAGATTTCTTGCTCACAAATCTGGTGTTTGGGCTGGGATATCTCGAAGACTGCAGTTACCTGGGACTAAACCTCAGGGTCTCTCTCAATAGCCTGCCCCATGACTTAGGCTTCCTCACAGCAGGGTGGATTTGATGTGGTCACACTTCCTACCTGGAGGGTCAGGAATCTAAGAGCAAGTATTCTAGAAAGAATATGGGCCGGGCGCAGTGGCTCACACCTGTAATCCTAGAACTTTGGAAGGCCAAGGCTGGTGGATCACCTGAGGTCAGGAGTTCGAGACCAGCCTGGCCAACACGATGAAACCCCATCTCTACTAAAAATACAAAAAAATTATCTGGTGTGGTGGCGGGTGCCTGTAACCCCAGCTATTGGGGAGGCTGAGGCAGGAGAATCACTTGAACCCAGGAAGCAGAGGTTACAGTGAGCTGAGATCGCACCATTGCACTCCAGTCTGGGCAACAAGAGCGGGAAAAAAAAAAAAAAAAAAAGACAAAACAAAAATTAGCTGGGCATGGTGGCACATGCCTGTAGCCCCAGCTACTAGGGAGGCTGGGGCAGGAGAACTGCATCAGCCTGGGAGGCAGAGGTTGCAGTGAGCCAAGATTTCGCCACTGCACTCTAGCCTGGGCAACAGAGCAAGACTCCATCTCAAAAAGAAAAAAAAAGGAAATGGAAGCCGAAATTAGCCGGAATTACGACCACTTCCAGAGTCTTATAGTGTCACAAACACCACATTCTATTGGTTGAACAGTCATAAGCCCTCCATGATTCCAAAGCATTTGATGTAGACTCCACTTCTTGATGAAAGGTTCATCAAAGAATTTGTAGCCATGTTTTAAAACTGCAACATACTTCCCATTCCAGCAGGTATAGCAAAAAAACACAAGAAAACAAAACTGCACATAACCAGCCCTGGAATTTCTGGGCCACAGAATTTCATACGCTCAGCTTTAGTTCTGCCAATCAATTTTACAAAGCAACGATATTGATGTAACCCCCGTGAGCAGTGTATGAGCGCTCTGGGTGGAACACATTCCTTCGTTTTTCATTTTAGCTATTCTGGTGGGTGTAAAGTAGCAGCAAACTGTGACCTTAATTCACATTTCCTTTGGATTTTCCTGATGCCTAATAGAAGGGAAAAAAAAGAAGTTGAGGGCAAGGTGGAGGCAGAGTTTGGAGTGATGAAGCCGCAAGCCAAAAAAGCCAGGAACTACCAGCAGCCCCTAGAAGTTAGAAATGCCAAGGAATGGATCTTCCTCAGAGCCTCGAGAGGGAGCGTGGCCTTGCCAATGCCTTGATTTTGGACTTGTCTCCAGAACTTTGAGACTAAATTTCTGTTGTTTTTAAGCCACCATGATTGTGGGAATTTGTTACAGCAGCCCCAGGAAACGAACGCAAGCCTATAATTTGTTTTTTTGCCATTATTTTATCTTCCTTTATGAAGATAAAATATACGCATTCATGTATATTGCCTATTTTGTATTGGGTTGTCTGCCATTTGATAATTGATTTTTAGGGTTTTAAAAATATATATTCTGGATATACATTGAACTAGTTCAAGTTCTCTGGGAAGCAGAGATTGAGGTGGAGTTAGATGTGTCAAAAGAGCCGGCTGTGGTGGCATGGGTCTGTAGTCTCAGCTACTAGGGAGGCTGAGGCAGGAGGATTGCTTGAACTCCATGCTAGGCAACAGAGCAAAACTCTGTCTCTTTAAAAAAAAAATAATGTTTTTTAGGCTGCTGCAGTAGGTCACGCCTATATTTCCAGCCCTTTAGGAGGCTGAAACAGGTGGATCACCTGAGATTGGGAGTTCGAGACCCGCCTGGCCAACATGGTGAAACTCCATTTCTACTATAAATGCAAAAATTAGCTGGGTGTGGTGGCAAGCCCATGTAATCCAGCTACTTGGGAGGCTGAGGCAGGAGAATCACTTGAACCAGGAGGTGGAGGTTGCAGTGAGCCGAGATCGTACCACTGCACTCCAACCTGGGTGACAAGAGTGAAACTCAATCTCAAAAAATAAAATTAAGGCCGGGCACGGTGGCTCAAGCCTGTAATCCCAGCACTTTGGGAGGCCGAGGCGGGTGGATCACGAGGTCAAGAGATCGAGACCATCCTCGTCAACATGGTGAAACCCCGTCTCTACTAAAAATACAAAACATTAGCTGGGCATGGTGGCGCGTGCCTGTAATCCCAGCTACTCAGGAGGCTGAGGCAGGAGAATTGCCTGAACCCAGGAGGCGGAGGTTGCGGTGAGCCGAGATCGCGCCATTGCACTCCAGCCTGGGTAACAAGAGTGAAACTCCGTCTCAAAAAAAAAAAAAAATTAAATTAAATTAAATGAAAAATTTAAAAATGCTTTTTAAACCATTAAGTCCTGGCTCTCTTTTTGTTTAAAATGCCTTCCCGGTCAGCTCTGCCGAAGGGGCGGCCAAGGAAGAGCCCAAGAGGACATCCACGCGGTTGTCAGCGAAACCTCCTGCAAAAGTGGAAGCGAAGCCAAAAAAGGCAGCAGTGAAGGATAAATCTTCAGACAAAAAAGTGCAAACAAAAGGGAAAAGGGGAGCAAAGGGAAAACAGGCTGAAGTGGCTAACCAAGAAACTAAAGAAGATTTACCTGCAGAAAACGGGGAAACAAAAACTGAGGAGAGTCCAGCCTCTGATGAAGCAGGAGAGAAAGAAGCCAAGTCTGATTAATACCATATACCATGTCTTAGCAGTGGTCCCTGTCTCCCTTCTTGTACAATCCAGAGGAATATTTTTATCAACTATTTTGTAAACGCAAGCTTTTTAGTAGCTCTAGAAACATTTTTAAGAAGGAGGGAATCCCACCTCATCCCATTTTTAAAGTGTGAATGCTTTTTTTTTTAAGAGGTGACATCATTTTCTGGTACAACCAGAAAATAGTGTGGGATATTGAATTATGGGAGGCTTTGACTGTCTCGGGTGTCAGCTTAACATTCCATAGATGGGGG